GTGAAAGCCTTCGGGAATTCATCGTCATGACCGTTCTCAGCATCAGCAACCAGCTGTCTGTATTGCAGGAGATTTTTTACAAGAGTGGACACATGACGCTCATTGTCTCATTGATAAGAGACATGCATTTACGGTCAGGCACCCAACTGATGCACAGGATGTATTTTCACAGCTTGGTGTGTTTGTGGAGAAGGTGCCACTTCTGTTCCCCTCAGCAGGCCACTTGCAGAAAGCCCCAGAATCCTGCTTGCATACCTGTAGCGTGTTCCCCTTCCTCTTAAATTGGGTCATTGTCAAGCCTGCCCTGTTTTTTTTAAAAAAGTTAATCACACCCTTGGGTGTCGGTGGGCCTTGTGCTTCAAAAGCCTTCACGGTTGACTTCGCCCTTGTGTTCATTTCTTCATAGCGTTTCTGTTCCCCCCTTCTGGCAAATGGAGTCGATGCAGCTTTGGGTTAAAATGTTTCAAGGAAATCAAAGCAATAAGAGCCATTCAAACCAGAAGATTTCAAAGAGAAACAAGCTGGGAACGGGGTGGGGAGCCAGAAATGACCACTCAAAACCCAAGTGGCAGGAAAGCCAACTCCAAAGATCTCCTATTCCAGCCAAAGAGAACAGGGTGGATTTGAACTCAAGTCAACATCAGTTCTTCGGGGGTATTCCAAGTGTTGTAATCCAGTCGTGTTTCCAAAACCAGGACCAATGTATTATGCGTCATGTATGCTTTGTTTACAGTTAGCGGGATAGCTCAGTAATTTAGGTAAGGTTGGGAATTCGAATCCCCGAAGTCAACATCAGTTCTTCGGGGGTATTCCGAGTGTTGTAATTCAGTCGTGTTTCCAAAACCAGGACAAATGTATTATGCCCATCTTTTGTACTTTGTTTACAGTTAGCGGGATAGCTCAGTAATTTAGGTAAGGTTTGGAATTCGAATCCCCGCTGTTCCTCCTGGGTGGCCTTGGGCAAGCTGCACAGTCCCTAGAGCACCCCTAGAGGAAGCAAAGGGTAATGCACTTCTGGGTATTCTCTGGAAAACCCTGAAAAGGGTCATCCTAAGCCGGAACTGACTTAACAGCACAGGATGATTATTATTAAATTTTGTTTCTATACTTCTTTTAAATGAAAGCCCATCTTTTGTTGCTGGTGGCTCTGTAATGCAGAAGTGCTTCACTTTGGCCATCCAGAAATCTGGGTCTTTAACTCCCGCCACCCTTTCCTGTGGATTCTATGTTGTAAAAGCCTGGGTGGCCCCACCTCGGCTGTAATGGGAAGCATGCATCCTTCTGACACCCCTGGGGAGGTCAACAGGAGAATCTGCCCTCTTGCCACATCAAGAAAGCCCCAAACATCAAGTCACAGCATGCCAGCCATTCCTGCCAACAACAAAGTTAGAAAGTTAATGAGCTGAGACTGCCTTACTTTTAAAGTGCACAGATGTGTTTGGCGGGAGCCCGGGAGAGGGGCCTTCTCTGTGGCTGCTCCTCCCAGACTCTGGAACTCCCTCCCACTGGAGGCCCACCTGGCCCCCTCTTGGCTCCCCTTCTGCAAGCAGGCCAAGATATTTCTCTTCAGGGCAGGTTTGGCCTTAAGGACTGACTGTCCAGGGGACAATAAATGGGAGGGTGTATATTCTGTTGCTGCCGAATCTGTTTTTCGTCATGCTTCCACCGAACGTTTTTAATACAATGTTATTCATTCTTCTTTAATATTTGAATCATTTACTGTTTTTCACTTTTAAGATGGTGGGGTTGTTTTTTGTTTTTTTAAAATAATGTAATCCACCTCGGGTCTTTATTTTATTTTTTATTTTTTTGAAGAAAAGTAGGGTTGAAAATATATATTTTCTTGGCTCTCCTTCTGCAAGCAGGCCAAGATATTCAGGGCAGGTTTTGCCTTAAGGATTGACTGTCCAGGGGACAATAAATGGGAGGATGTATATTCTGTTGCTGCCGAATCTGTTTTTCGTCATGCTTCCACCGAACGTTTTTAATACAATGTTATTCATTCTTCTTTAATATTTGAATCATTTACTGTTTTTCACTTTTAAGATGGTGGGGTTGTTTTTTGTTTTTTTAAAATAATGTAATCCACCTCGGGTCTTTATTTTATTTTTTATTTTTTGGAAGAAAAGTAGGGTTGAAAATATATATTTTAAATAAATAAATAAGAGTGACATAAGAACAAAATGAGCCGGTTTCTTATGCTCGTTTCCTCTTTCTTTGCATATTCAAAGAGGATGTCTTACATCTTAAAGGTAAGTCTGGAATCTTCTTTGTGGCTTTATCAACTTGCAGCATGTCTGTCTGCTTTAATCAAGAACCAGTGGCCTAGACTTCTCGATCCAGGGATGTTGACCCAGAAATTCAAAAAAAGCATGTTTGTTCGTTCCTTCGTTAGTTCGGTTTGGACTACAACTTTCAAAGTTCCTGAACTAGCCCGGAATCCAGACCTTGTCATCCAAAATTCAACTCTCCCCAAGCTATGTTTCTTTAACCCTTAAAAGCCAATGTTAATAGATAGCTGAATCATTTTAAAAAAAACTCACACATGACGCAACCCAGCTATATCAAATCAGCCCCATCGTACGCTTGGCCAGACAATACTCGTTCAGCCAAGTCTGTGTCGTTATAGGATTCTAGCAAGAGTCCCAAAACAATGAAAAAGTTCTTGCCCAAAAGGAAGCCGTCGGAGAGAAAGCCATCAGAGGAGGAATTTGTCATCAGAAAAAGTAAGTGACCTGCATGTTTTTTGTTTGGAATTACAATAGGACCTGATATCCACGGGATCCGTATCCACTGATTCACTTATCCTCTGGCTGAAAAGACTAAATAACCCACCCATCCCAAAATAACTATTTCAATGTATTTACAAGAAAAGGCCACTATGGGAATCCAGAGACTGTGCCATGTACAGCATTCAATGCTTCCATGTTTTTCAGAATCCACGGGGGAAGCTTAAAACCGATCCCTCGTGGATACTGTCGTCTTCCTGTACTGCCTTATAGCAGTGAGACCAGCTTGCAAAATAGCCTTCCCTAACTTGGATGGGTGCAATATTTTGGGCTGATGGTAGTTCTGATACACTACATTCAGACTGTGCCGGGTTGGGGGAGGCGGTCCTAAAATGTAATCATCTGAGCATTTACTTCTCGATTAAAATGAACAGGTATCTCCAAGCAAAAGTGGGCACTTCTTGAATACCGCTCCATAGTGCTTTGGCGGTTTACAGTTCAATTAGGTTGGTTGGTTGGTTGGTTGGTTGGTTGGTTGGTTGGTTGGTTGGTTGGTTGGTTGGTTAGTAAGAATAAAGAAAGGAAGGCAGCAAGTTTGGTTGGTTGGTTGGTTGGTTGGTTGGTTGGTTGGTTGGTTGGTTGGTTGGTTGGTTGGTTGGTTGGTTGGTTGGTTGGTTGGTTGGTTGGTTGGTTGGTTGGTTGGTTGGTTGGTTGGTTGGTTGGTTGGTTGGTTGGTTGGTTGGTTGGTTGGTTGGTTGGTTGGTTGGTTGGTTGGTTGGTTGGTTGGTTGGTTGGTTGGTTGGTTGGTTGGTTGGTTGGTTGGTTGGTTGGTTGGTTGGTTGGTTGGTTGGTTGGTTGGTTGGTTGGTTGGTTGGTTGGTTGGTTGGTTGGTTGGTTGGTTGGTTGGTTGGTTGGTTGGTTGGTTGGTTGGTTGGTTGGTTGGTTGGTTGGTTGGTTTTTAAGACAAAATAAACAAAGGAAAGCAGCAAATTAATAAATATATAGTTGACACTAATACCAGGAACTTACATTTTTATAAAAAAAATCCAAAAGTGGTATTAATTATAAATAATGGAAATTACATGGGATCAAGTGGATTCTGGCTTATGGTGGCCCTTGTCCCTTTCAGAGTTTTGTAGGTAGAGAGGGCTTAGAAGTGGTTTCCCTTCCATTCCCTTCTTCTGGGGGAATTCTGATACTGTGCAGCTAGCCCAAGGCTACCCAGGCTGACTGTTCTCCCACAGAGTGGGGAATCAAACTCCTGGCATCTAGATACCAAACTCAATGACTTGTTCAGCCAGACGTTAATTATTAGGACCCACTAACGAGTTGCAAAAAGTAAACACTGGCCATTTACCCTGCAATGGACATCAGACTGGTTACAGATGAATTCAAATTAAAACCAAGCAATTGCACAACATAAAGCCCAATGCTGGGAAGCCCATTGTGAAATCATCTTTTGTTGCTGATTTAAATTTGTTTCAGTGGTTAAATTCTTACAGTTTCCCCCCACATTTCCCAGGTACGGCTGCCTTAGAAGAAGACGCACAGATCCTGAAAGTGATCGAGGCCTATTGTACTGGCACAAGCTTCCAGCAGAACCTCAGTCCAGGTGGGTGGCTTGAAGGCAACACGCCGCGCCTAGCGGCTTTCACCGGGCCATTATCTCTCCACCCAAACTGGGTCAAGGGCTTTGGGCAGTCTGTGAAGGGATGCGCCGCACAATCCTGTTGGCAACCAGGAAGAGGAGGTTGCCTGGCATTTTTGATTTGTGGTCAGTCCTTTCTCATACCGATTGTACACAGGTAGGAGGTTGTGCGCCCTGCCCCTTACCCTAATCCATGTAAGGACCTCTGGAACAGTTCTCCTTACTGCAAGGGTGGGCAATTTCCTAGGAGAACCCCCGGGTCATCCTCACCAATGACCTCTAAGAGCCATCGGTCGATCTGTCCTCCCCAGATCTTCCTGATTCCTTTTTGAAGCCCTAATCACATACAAAGTGTTTGCTGTCCCTTCTATCCTTCTGCCAGCTGTTAAAGACCACTTCTTCCTCTTTTAGGCAGGTGTTCAATAACCATGACTGGGTTGTTTTGGGAGTGGCGGGGTGGGGTGGGGTTGCTTTCCTAAATTTACTTTGAAAGTTTTCAGTGTGTTTTATTATTAAATGGATGATTAATTATTTTTGCAGTTCAATTGCTTTTCTTAAATCTGGAATGTATTAATCTGTGTTTTTAGTATTACTTGTTTTAACATTGTGAGCCACCTTGGGTCCCCTTAAGGCAGCCTACGAATGAGACAACATGAACAAACAAACTTTGCAGATTCTGTTTTCCCCTCTATCAACCTAATCCTGTGCAAGTTTTTTTCCTCCAATCAGTTCTACTGGATTAGTGGTGGGTAGCGATGGGCATGAACAACTGATTTGGTAATTTGTGCTGGTTCGTTTATTGGCCGAACAAGCGTTGGGCAATTCAAAGCCCCACCTCCTCCACTGGCCACCCACTCAGAGGCAGCACCCTGGGATTCCCTGCCCCGCCTCCTCTGGGCGGTGCCTCTGAGTGGACACCCAATGGGGGAGGCGGGGCCGGGAAGTGTCAAACACGTGTTCGGCGGATAAACGAACTGGCACGAACTAGCGGTTCACGCCCATCTCTAGTAGTGGATCGAAACTTTTGAAGGACGCCGGCCTGGTGAGATGGTTGTGAACAGGGCACCAAAGAGATGCAATGACAGCAGAACTTCTGAATCCCTTTTCTTTCCCCTCCCCGCCCACTGAGAGAGCAAAGAGATGCTAATCTCAGCATGCAAGTCGACTTTCGATAGGAAGCAGAAGGTGCTATCGCTTGATCTGTTGTGAGTTTCAGAGAAACTGCTTCCTGGCTGAGGTGCGAGCTTCTTCTGAGGCAAGGAGCATAGCCGGGGGTTCTCAGAGATGTCAAGTTTTCTGAAAGCCTTCTACTGTCTAGTAAAGAGAAATGCTAAAAGGGGAAGGCATCCTTTATTAGTAGCATTTGGTGGACGGACGAATGGATTTAAAATATTTTTTACTCTGCCTTTCTCCTTAAAATTGGCCCAAGGCAACTTGCCTTGTTAAAAACACAATGTTAGAAGTGAAAAACAGCACGTGCACAAATATTTTTAAAGAATTAATAACATTATATTTAAAACGTGAAGGGAAAGGTTTTTGCCTACTCGTGGAAAGACAGCAAAGATGGGGCCAGCCTGGCTTCCAGTGGGAGGGAGTTCCAAAGTCTGGGAGCAGCCACAGAGAAGGCCCTTTCCTGTGTCCCCACCCAACACAACTGTAAATGTGGTGGGACTGAGAAAAAGGTCTCTTCTGATGATCTTAACACCTAGACAGGCTCATAAAGGAAATCACGGTGTTTGAGATGGCCATTTAGGGCTTTTTGGGTTAGAACCAACACTTTAATTGACTGAGAAAAAGGTCTCTTCTGATGATCTCAACACAAAGGCAGGCTCATAAAGGAAATCATGGTGATTGAGATGGGGCTTTTTGGGTTAGAACCAACACTATTGTGCCCGACTGGCAGCCAGTGAGCTGCTGTAACACATTGTGCCCAGAAACCAATTGGCAGCCAGTGAGCTGCTGTAACAGAGGGGTGGTGTGTGATCCCTGTGACCAAACCCAGCTAGTCTGTAGAACTAGCAATCCAAGACATAAAACTTTAGGAAAATGTATATATCTGAGAGGGAAGGAAGAAAGACGAAGAGAAAAAATGTGTGAGGGAGGCTTCTGGCTAGCCTGTAACAACATTCATTTTTATTATGGAAGCTCCCCAAAATTTATCCTTTGACTCATTGACTTTTGACAACAGGTTCCCGCAAAGACTCCATGCCCCAGGTCCTGCTTCCAGAAGAGGAAAAGATCATAACGGAGGAAACGCGAAGCAACGGGCAAACTATCACAGAAGAGAAGTGAGTAAAATCAGCTTCAGAGTATAAAGGCGGACTTGGTATCAAAGCCATTTTGAAGCCAAGAGAACCGGGAGGGGAGAGCAAAAGTCGTTTGAGTGTGTTCCGGGTGAGAATCAAATCACATGTCAAGGGAAATGCATGTTTCCTACACTTCCAACTTTTTTTCCTTCTGGGCATGCAAATCCTTCAAACCCTCATGCCCTAGCAATCAGACTTGAAAATGAAGCCCATGTTCGCCTGTCGGTGACCAATCGAAAAACAGAAGCAAGCCTATTTGTAAATGCAGATTGAAACAAACTTCTGCTAGGATAAATGGACGTAGTTTACATCTTAAGGTAGCTCTGCTTCTAACAAAATGCTAAACTATGCCACTTAATTAGTTCCTGGGCTCAATGTGTTCAGATGACAACCCGGGTTTTAACGAAAACTAAAGCAGACTGTATAAACTTGAAGTCTGCTTTGCCCCCTCTTTCTTAGGGGCACACAGTTGGTTCTTTGGGTACCACGTAAGACATTTAATTTTATTTGTTAATTTAAAAATTGCTAAAGAAGCCACTTTTAAAGCTGCCCAAACATCATGTGCACAAACGTAAGACAGGTCAACTCAAACAAAACAAGAGAGCCACATCTCATATGTTGAGATGTCTAGAGAAGGGCTTCAGAAGATATTCTAAAGTTTGCAAAGGTCTAAGGCGAGGGGAAGGCAGCCCTACAAGAAGTTTGAGAAAATACAGTGGTGCCTCGCTTAACGAGCGCACCGTATAACGATGAAATCGCATAGCGATCTGTTTTTTCAGATCGCTAATGCGATCGCACAATGTTTTTCTTATGGGGCACAATTCGCTTTGCGAAGACCGGTAAGCGTTTCGCTTACCGATCTTCGCAAAACGACCCCCACCGATCAGCTGTTCGGCGGCCAAAATGGCCGCCGGAAGCCGGGAAATGGCCTAAAATGGCCACGCGCAGCGTTTTCGCGCCCTCGTTAAGCGAGGCGAGGGCGCGAAAATGGCTGCCGGCCATCCTGAAGCTTCGCTGAACGGTGAGTATTTGGCCTATTTGGAACGCATTAAACGATGTTTAATGCGTTCCAATGGAAATCGCTGCCCCGTTCAGCGATGCTTCAGCATAGCGAAGGTTAATCCGGAACAGATTAACCTCGCTATGCGAGGCACCACTGTATTAAGATCTCCAGTCCAGGAGTCTTCTCCACGGACTTTAGTCCTTCCAAGCTGATGGCCTGCTTGTTTCCTAGGAGTCTGGTGGACACCGTCTATGCTTTGAAAGACGAGGTCAAGGAACTTAAACAGGTAATCAAAAATATCACTCTGTGCCAGGGCGGTACGGGCACCCTACCTTTTGCGCCAGGCGATTCAGCCTACTGAGGATCCAGTTTTGTCGTTTTGTTTCAAATTTTTAAGGGATGGAAAACCGGAAAACCATGGGTTGGAAAGGGTGTTAGCAATGGCTGCTACACAGTGTTTTTTCATGCCCTGTAATGCTACAGGTCATACAGGGAGGCCGGAAAGAGTAGAGTGCAGAACATTCTCTGGGTGACTTGGTAAAGGTAAAGGTTCCCCTTGACAATTTTTGTCCAGTCGTGTTCGACTCTAGGGGGCGGTGCTCAACCCCGTTTCCAAGCCATAGAGCCAGCGTTTTGTCCGAAGACGATCTTCCGTGGTCACATGGCCAGTGCGACTAGACACAGAACGCTGTTACCTTCCCACCGAGGTGGTCCCTATTGATCTACTCCCATTTGCATGCTTTCAAACCGCTAGGTTGGCAGGAGCTTGGACAAGCAATGGGAGCTCACTCCATTGCGTGGATTCGATCTTACGACTGCTTGGTCTTCTGACCCTGCAGCACAGGCTTCTGCGGTTTAGCCCGCAGCGTCACCACGTGGGTGACTTGAGCCCATCACAAATGCAGAAGCAGGCAATACCTTTGTAGACCTCTAAGATGTAAGTCAAGGAAGGCTTACATCCTTTACAGCCAGCCACTTGCGGAAATTGTGTTGCTTGGCCTAGTATGTTGCACGAGAGCAGGTCCATTGCATCAGTAAGTGTTTCAGGAGTCAACTCCTCCATGGATTCAAATGGGCCCGCTCCAGTTGCGACTTACTTTAGAGTAGTAATTCACAATAGGGGTAGATGCATATGAATTGATGGAACTTACGGTGTCGTTGATTCACCAAATGCCTACTGATTCAATGGGGCTTCTTTAGTGAAACTTACTACACTAAGCAATAGGACTTCTGCCATGGCCTCTCCCCGTAAACCTACCCCAGAAGGTCGTTGCGAAAGTCGTGAGAGACTGACGGTTCTACGTGCTGCTCTGAGCTTTTGTAAGGAGGGTATAATTAAAATGCAATAAGTGTTTTCAGAAATCAACGACTGAGTGGCTCCTCAGAGATGCAGCCCACCCTATCTCAGATATTGATCAGGATAAATGTGCTTTAATAAAGGCACAGTTACAAGACGGAGGATACTTGAGTGAGAAGGGCCTTGGAATTGTTGTAGATCAAAACCTGAATAGGAGCCAACTGTGCAACGTGGCTGCAAAAAAAGGCAAATGCGATTTTAGGATGCATTAACAGAAGTAGGGTCTCCAAATCTCGAGGTGCTAGTTCCCTTCTGTTTAGCCTTGAGAAAAGAAGACTGAGGGGAGATAGGATAGCACTTTTTAAATATTTAAAAAGTCATGCAGAAGAGGGGCAGAATATGTCTTTGACCATCATGGAGTGCAGGACATTTAATAATGAGCTCAAGCTACAGGAACCCAGATTTCAGGTGAATATCGGGGGGAAAGTCTTAACTGTTAGAGCAGTACGACAATGGAACCCATTGCCTAGGGAGGTGGTGAGCGCTCCATCACTGGAGGCCTTCAAGAGAAAATTGGACCGCCGTCTGTCCGATCTGCTTGGATTTGGGTTCCTGCACTGAGCACGTGGTCGGACTCGGTGGCTTTAGAAGCCCCTTCCAACTCTAGGATTCTAGGATTCATATGTTTAAAAAAATTAACACGTTCTCCTCTTCCTGACCCCTCCACCTGTGCTATAGGAGAACAAAAGGATGAAGCAGTGCCTGGAAGAAGAACTGAAATCCCGCAAAGATTTGGAGAAATTAGTTCGAAGGCTCCTCAAGCAAGCCGACGAGTGTATCAGGGAAGACACCGGGCGGAGGTCATCCATTCTGGCCTGATTTCCTTAACGCCGCCATAGGCGCTTTGCACACAGATTGATGTCAGATACTTTCCTGCCATCGTCGTTGGCGCCTTTGAATCCTTGCTTTGGTTTCCCAGTGTGTGTGTGTGTGTTTTGCTTGTTCGAGTTGTTTTGTTGTGTTCTGAACCACGGAGGTGGCTTCGATCTTTCCCCCCCCCCTTCCTTTCGAGAAGCCCAGGGTGACACCTCCACAAGAGTCAAAACTGGGTTCTGAATCATCAAAACCTGCCTGTAATTTCCAGCGTCACCTTGGAGCGTGGTGGCTCTTGTCACCCAGCGGCGGCTGCTCTCGGGTGACGACGGGCAGAGTGGAAATTTTAGAGGAAATGCAAAAGCACTTTTCTCTCCTTTCCCACCACCCTCCATTTCTTTTTCCTTCCTTTCTTTTTTTTTTTCTTACCGGCTTCTTTCTTTTAAAATGACTTTTACTTAAATTATGCCCTTAGGAGTCCCTTAGAGGAAGGGAAAGAATGGTATTGAAGGGCAACCAACTGAAAGCCAAAGATAATTTGCACTTTTATTTCCCAGATAATCAGGAAAACAAGTTCAGTTTTTTCCTCCAGCCCAACAATAACAATAACAACGACAACAACAACGACAACGCCGACAACGACAATAACGACGACGACGACGACGACAATAATAATAATAATAATAATAATAATAATAATAATAATAATAATAATAATAATAATAATAATAATAATAATAATAATAATAATAATAATAATAATAATAATAATAATAATAATAATAATAATAATAATAATAATAATAATAATAAATGTCCTGAATGTAAGATACAGAGCACAGCAATGCTATAGTTTCTTGCATGACCTTTCTATGGATGAAAATATGCAACGGAGCACCCCGGTGTTATCATTTCTTAGGGGGTCTGGTTTCTCTGAGCGAACCCACTTTTTCGCTCTTGCCGCATCAGGAAAGGTTAAGAGGCAACCGTGAGCTGGATGCACAACAACCCCCTCCTTGTATGTATGTGAGTCTATGCAGGGCCCGGCCCTTCCGTTAGGAAGAGTGGGCAAGTGCCTTAGGGTGGCCGATGCTGGGAGGCAACCGTGCGGGGCGTCCCCTTTGGGTCAGCGGAGGCTGGTCACTCCAATTTCACAAGGGCGGGTTTTGGTCTTAATTGCACAGGAGCCCCTCACGGGCCTCAACCTGCACCCTTCCACATTGTCAATAGCTGTTGTAAAGTTCGGAATGAAACTCGGAGTGGATTCGTCACTGCCACCACCCATAAAGTGAGAGCCACCAGCTTCCACAGCCTTGGGTATTGACTAGGCCTCTGTTCTTTGGTCAAGTGAACCTTTTAAATGGAAAATGTCGAGTCAAAGGGGAACTTCCACAGAGAACGTACCTGCAGTGATGCTGATCTGTAGTCCGTTCCCCCTCACCTGTGCAAAAGAAATCCTGTTCTCAGAGGGTCCATCCCACGACATATATTTCCATCGTCTTAAAATCAAAGGAGGGAGGAGAAATTGATTAAACTGATGGATTAAAACTCATTCAGTCTATTGATGTAGATTGTTAATTGGTGAGCCCTATCTGTTCATATAACTCCGAACAGAGTATTTGCTGATGGTTTCCCTCTTCCTTGAGAGAGGAGGGCAAGCCCACAGAAAGTGGATGCTCTTTGCTTCATAGCCAGAAGAATTTTTTAAAAAATGTAGGAGAATATATTCTATTATCATAGGATGCCAATAAATATATATATATATTTCAGGTGTACCTTTTTGCACAATCAAGCTGAGTGAATGTTCACCCACCTCTCACGTGGATGAGAAAAGATTATAGATATTTTAATGTGTGTTTCTGGGAAGGTGTCTTCTTTTCTGTGTATGTTTAGAAAGACAATACTAGTTAACCGTAATGATATGCAAATCCACTGGTTCTGCCTCTAGGCATGGTGACCTGCATGTTTCCTAAGAGGTTCTTCATTTTGCCTTTATTTAATTTATTAGACTTTGATTAGGCAACGTTTGTAAGCAAAAGCAAAACTAAGGTTTCATGGGTGGACTCTGGCACGAACCTTCCTAATCCACCCACAACAAGAGGAATTATGCAGCCTTCACTCATTTGGCCAAGGGTCCTGTCAGAAAAGTGCCCCAACAAAGCTGCTGTTTATAAGCGAAAGTCCATTTCCATCTTGGAATGGCCAGTCCCATCTTGGCACAGCAGAAGGGGAAAAGAGAAATAAAAGATCAAGTGCCACTGAGTGGGAAAGGCGGGCTGACAAAGGGCGTGAGCCACAAAGCTTGACCACTGGGTGAGCCGTAACCCCCTCATTCTGGATTGGGTTTCATGTAGAGAGTCGTGGTAGAAGGATTCCAGGGAGACCATCTGGAGGGCCACAACCCAACCTTCCATGCAATCTTGCCTTCCTTATGTGTGGTACTACATGTCCCGTCAAGTAGAACCTCTTGCATGCGTGGTCTGGACTGTGCCACAAAATGCTTATTGTCCTGACCGATGGCGACCTTGTGGAACCATGACCTCCAAAGGGTCCTGACACTTGCAGGTCTTCCAGCCACAAGGTTGGCGGCTTCCTTGGCTGAGTCAACCCCACGTGGTACAAGGTGGTCCTCTTTTCCTGCTGCCTTCAACTTTTGCTAACATTACCGCATTTTTCCAGGGAGTCTTGTCTTCTGGTGACACGTCCTCCCCCCTAAATCTGGACAGCCTGTGTTTGTGTGTGTAGGAAAGGCAATACTGAGCCCCAGGTACTGTTGGTCATCGTGTTCAAATGTTCTTCTCTTGCACTGTACGTATCAGGTGTGAATGCCTTCTGTTTTTCTGTCTGTCTGTACATGTGTTTAAGGAAGTAGAAGCCTGCCATCCTAAACCTACTCTTGAGGAAGTTCTCTTAACTTGTGAATAAACGTCCATAGGATCAAACTGTAAATATCAGGAAGGACAGACAGCTGTATAAAGGAATTGAAGCCATGTTACCCCAGTTGCAGTGTTCCATGAAAAACTGTAAATATCAGGAAGGACAGACAGCTATTCTAAAGGAACTGAAGCCATGTTACCCCAATTGCAGTGTTCCATGAAAATATACAAACACACACACACATATATATATGGATATTATATTATTTGTTTACAGCGCTTTGTAATTAGGTTGCAATGACACCCCCACGTTATCCTGTTGCCTTCTGTTTTCCACGCCTCCATCTTTTTTCTTTAGTGTCATGACAACTGATGCAAGTTAAACTTTTTCTAAACTATTTTTTATTTTGAGCAATTTTTAAACTGTGGTTTTCAACAAAATAAAGAAGGATTTTAAAGGAAAGAAAGTTTACATGTGCCTGTGATTATTTTCCCCCTATCCAAACCGTCACTGCCCTTTCCCCTCCCCTACCCCAGTTTTATCGACATTTTGGTTAAAAAAAAAATACAGCACAATGGTTCTAAGCTGAAACACTGAAGTAAAATCATCTTTCTTTTACAGTTGATTAAATAAATGAGTGCCTTCAAGTAGAAGAATAAGCTTTATTTATTTCACCAGCCTTCCAAGCTCCAATAAGTGTAATATCTCATTTAAAAATAGTAACATTTATCATATTTTTTTATTACCAGTTTCCACAGAAGACGTCCAAGTCAATTTTGTAACTTTACTAGTTACACTTTAAAATTCCTACGTTACTAAGGCAAGTTATATATGCATATTATCCCAGTCTTTCAGGCAGCTCATATAAAATAATAAAGTACCATCTGGGAAACCTTTTAAGATACCGACTTAAAACCATCCACCAAAAGTCAGTAGGAGCAGAGAAATACCATATTCAAACATGATAGCTCTGCTATGGAAGTCGAAAACGGGTCGGAGAGATCATCTCGAATTGTCAATGGCTACAAAGAGGTGCGGCAGGGTTTTAATGGATTAAAAAATACACCTTGATCACTGATCAAAGGGGATAACAGGTCAAAAGGGATATTTTGCGGGAAATGAACCTCCAAGCCTAAATCCAAAATAATGTTTAGGCAGTGTGCCATATTCTATCACACCATTGTCCAGTACAGTAAATTCACTGTGCCATATTCTATCTGTACACTCACTGTGACAATGTGCAACCACGGAAACAATGAATTGTGCACAGCTCTGATTACCGAATACAAGCCAACTGTCAAAGCAATCCTTGCTTGCTTGCTTTTAAAAAGAGTGCTTTCGACTTAATTTAGGGAACTAGGAACAATCCCTTCTGAATTAAGGCTTGGAGTGATGCTCCCAAACATTCCAGAAGGACTTTCTGGGGTGGGAAAACCCTTGCACATCTGTGTCTCTGAGACGCTGCAGAGGATCAGCTTTTATTCCTCAGTGTACAAGAATGACACCAATCCAGGACTGGCCAGAATTTGGAACAATAACCTTTACAGCAGGCTTTTGGATGGTAAATTCCAGAATCCGCCAGCAGTGTGACCCTGAGATTTGTCCTCCAAATGGCTTTAACCCTATTTTGCTGCATCTGTTTTACTCCTTCCTTTGGAAAGCCCTGAGGCATGGCTGCAAAGCACACGCAAACAAAGGTTTCACTGAAAGGTCACAGCATAAAACTGCCATGGAAATTCACTACCCAAGGAAGAGCTCAAAATATATACAGTCCCTTCTCTCCTTGATGGAGAGGAGGGTTTGTTTGGTACTTAAGAGGCTGCTTATGCAAAATCAGACCCTTGAACCACAGAGCTCAACCCTGCCTGCAAGAGCGGTAGATCACGCACTCCCCACAGGGAGGAGTGGGTGGACCCATGGCCTATTTTTGTCACCCTTCCTTCATGAACACCCTCCCCACTCCTGAGCTGCAGAGCCAATAAATTATGGTGCCAGCTGAGATTGGGTAGAGAAGGTTGTTTAGCCTTTAAGGGGTGTGTGTGTGTGTGTGTGTGTGAGAGAGAGAGAGAGAGAGAGAGAGAGAGAGAGAAATCTCCCAAGATCTTCACACATCATCCTTGGACCTAGTTCTGAAACATACCACTCCTCAAAAAGGTGTGTTTTTTTTTCCTTACAAAAAAGTATTTTTTTAAAAAACTGGAAAAGCTTTAAATTATGCCCCCTAGTGTCCAAAATATATATTTTTTTAAAAATAAATCAACAGTGTGTGTGTGTGAGAGAGAGAGAGAGAGAGAGAGAGAGAGAGAGAGAAATCTCCCAAGATCTTCACACATCATCCTTGGACCTAGTTCTGAAACACCCACTCCTCAAAAAGGTGTTTTTTTTCCTTACAAAAAAGTATTTTTTTAAAAAACTGGAAAAGCTTTAAATTATGCCCCCTAGTGTCCAAAATATATATTTTTTTAAAAATAAATCAACAAAATTGGGTGGAAGGGCCATTTAAAATATGGCAAAATCGATTGCCCATGCTCCCTAAAGAATCAAATAGGATTTTGAGG